CTTCAAGATAACTCTTTCAGTTCAAAACCCATACAAACGTGAAACGCTCTCCCTAAAAAGGGCAGAATTGTGAACGACACCAAAAGGTCTTCAAGGTGGCTATTTCAGTTCAAAATCCCATGGAAATGTGGAACACTCCTTTTAATACTTAGTGGTGACTTACGACCCCAGGAATTTGGATGTCCTATTCTCCTTTCCCAGCAGCGGGGCACCCGTGACGCTCAGCGGCAGACCCCGGTGCCGCACTCCCGCCGGCAACCCGGCATGCCCGGGGCTCTGCAAGTTCCTCTTACTGAAATGGCCATCTTGAAGATCATTCGGTGCACTTCACAGTCCTGGCCCTCTCTAGACCTATACCGCTCTAGTTTCTGAGCTTTACGCCCACAAAGATGTGCAGACTTTTCGGGAGACTATTTCAAGGTCACCCGGCCATCCATGACGTCAAAATAACGTCATTCGAAGCCTGACATATCATTAGCTACGCGGAGATCAAGGCCAGTGACCATACAACTGTCGAGTCATTTATACTGGCGTTCGTAAGCACAGTTTCAAGATAGAACTAAAGTCGATTGGCTCTCAATCAATGTTATGCAAGGCACAATGACGTCATCAAACCGTGACACGTTGAGGGGCAAATTTACTTAACAGAAAAATTACGTTGTCTAGAGCAGTCATTTCCATTTAAAAGCGTACAAGCAGTTATAAGTGAGCTTATTACATCATACCTGATGGTTGCTTTAATGTCTTCAAATGTGAAACGTTACCTTTAGGATTTTAACTTGCATTCACATGCTTGGTTATGGGGTCATGTTTGATTTTTTATTGCAAGTCTTATTTTCATACTAACTACACGCCATGCCAAACTTCTTGCAGTATGTAGCACAAAACGTTAAACAGCTATATTTGTCATGATTAACAAAGCTCCCATCTGAGTAAATAAGCCATCTCCTCCTTGACACACCCAAGCTCACCAGCATCACGAGGGCTCCACCAAAAGCCTGACTACGGAAGTCAGCGGCCTGATTACCGCGGCAAACGCCCGTAGTGGGCGGGCAGCACCTCACGAAGGGCAGAGGTGAGTATAGCTCTGATTTTTGCTTACGGTAACGTTAAAACCCATAAACAGGACAACCCCCTGAGACCAATCATATCTCAAATCCCGACGACTACTTATCAGCTGGCAAAAACTTTAACTGCCGTGACTGAGCCCTCCACACCGCAGAGAGTAGCTTGAAATCAACAGGAGAGTTCATTGACCCTATCAAGTCTTGCAGCCCCACTAGTTTACTTGATTCACTAGACGTAGATAGTCTGTTCACAGACGTTTCCGTTGATAGAACCATCCAAATTATACCTGACTGCGTCTGCAATCAGGCAACCTTGCCGCCATTGAAGCCGTCACGATCCATAACCGAAACGGTGCTCCGATGCTGCACAACAGAGGCACTCTTCCGCTTTCCAAACGGCATACCCAACCGCCAAGTAAATGGTGTCATAATGCGGTCACCGCCCGGGTGCCTGTTGGCAAAGATGTACATGTGCTGGCTGGAGAACCGTGTCCTCAAAGACATTAACCTTAAACCACCCATATACTGCTAATATGTCGATGACATATTTGTTGATGTCAGAGACAGGCCCCACATCCACGAACTGCAGCCCACTACGCAGCGGCAATCGTCATTGGCGATTTTAAAACTGGCCTGAGTGTCGACAACCGTGTTACTTTTCCTTGACATCGATGCAGATGTGAGCAACGGATCTTTCGTTACAAAAGTGCACCGTAAACCCATCGATGCTGGCAATGCATGGACGCGACTAGCGAGTGCCCATAGCTTTGCCTGCATGGCTGTCATACGTTCGTCTGTACGAAGTGCCCTAAAATATTGCTCCAGCTGGTCCGCCACGCACCACGAGCTTGAACGGCGCAAGCAATTGCTCGTTAATAATCACTATTCGAACAGAGTAACTGACGAAGAGATTGCGTCCACCTTGAATTGACAAAGCCAGAAACCACTTGACAAGAAACCGGCTCATCAACGATTTTTATCGAAATCAAAGGCACCCTCATATAAAGTGGATAAAAAAGTTTTGCGTAGCATCATCAAGACAGATATGACACCGACTGCCGAAAACACTGAAATAAGGATTACCTGCTATTACAAGAGCAGAACATCCAGTAACCTTGTAATTAAATATAGCCTGACAGCGGTCCAAAACCAAGCGAAGAGCATCAATATGGTGAATAAATTTAAATGTCCGTACGGAGACTGCCGGCTCCGTAACTCTGCCTGTATTACAATGGACATAACATCCCTATCACGACGCATGACTATGCAACTGCAGGAGGGAGCGCCAGTCCGAAATATGCGCAAAACCCACAACTAAAAACTTCTGCGCTCTAACCTGACAAAAAAAAACTGATTTCATAATCACTCCCGAGCAAACACCGCCTAGAAGTTCTTAAAGCCACCCTCATCACAAAAAATGTCTGACTTAAACAAACAGCTTAAGTCATGCATTTCTTTGGACCTGTCCAGCCACCCAACGGCAGCAAGGTGATTCGATGTCTACCTTTCCACGGCGTTAAACTGGCTGGAAAAGAGATATGCGTCTGTTAGCATGTGTTTTGTAATTTAACTAAATATTCGGATGCATAATCTGTTAACTGATGGCTCACCAACGATTATGACTCGTCGGACATGCCTTGGATTTTGCCATTTTCAAATATTTTCTGTCCAATATACGTGAATGAAGGCTTTAATTCAAAAGATAAATTTAACAAAGGTTCAATAAGGGACTAATTTGGGCAATCGAACAAACGCACATGAAACAGATTGAATGTACATTTCTCATTACGTATAACAAAACTTGCATTAAGAAAAGCACACTGCCCAAGTCCACAAATATATATATATATATATATATATATATATATATATATGTATGTATATAAATGTATATATGTAGTCCAGTATCATTTCAAGTGAAGTTATATCGATAAACCATGCCCGATTCTTCCTGAAACACCTTCGCATGCGTCTCAATTCTTCGGGCTGGCACAAACACTGAAGAAATATAGATAAACATACTTCAAAATATGACAGCCATATTGAAATATGACCGACGTAATTTCATGGTTTTAGGCATTTAAAGATGGAAGCTTGGAAGCTTGGAAGCTTAAATCAAATGGTAGCCAGTAGCCACTGCGTTGAAGATTCTACCATACATTCATTGCAGTCCCTGATTTGGGAAATGATAGGTACTCTACCAAATTTTCGCGAAACGATCCGCTGAAGCCACAAACACCCCGGACCTTTGCTCTCGAGGATATTAGAGTGCTAACGATGTCTGTAAACATAAATTATCCCGCAAATGGACAATTCAGCGGCAGGTATCAATAACGATATTAATCCTTGAAGCAATTGCTCAAAGTTCTGAAGTTCTGAAAATCAGACTTGACTAAAAAAGTATGCATCAAGGCATAACCTATAGCGCTTTAAAGCGTCCATTCTCGCAGAATATAATCGGTTTTCTTCACAGTTCTGCTTAGGATATATATGCGCAGATGAAGCAAGACAAACATTGTATGTTCTATAAGTCGGTATATCATGCGTTTTCGTTGCAGGCAAAACAGAGTGATCATTCCACAGCATCAAGCACGCACGGCGCGCGGGAGAGTTATCATTCCGCAGCGTCAACACGCAGGGCGGGTGGGAGAGTTAGCATTCCGCAGCATCAGCACGCGCAGTGGTTGGGAGAGTTATCATTCCGCAGCGTCAACACGCAGGGCAGGTAGGAGTGTTTTGCGCCTATTCGACATCAATGCAACTTGAATACTGTCAGTATCACCATGCAACAGCTGTAATAATCCCCTTTTACTCGAACGAGAAACAGGATTTACGCACAACACTCTACCATACCCTTAAATGCTATCTTCATTCAAGCGTGCGACTTCTCATTGCAGGGCTTAAATAAAGCATCTCCCTTGCGGCGCAGACTTTGCGTACAAAATACGGCACACCCATTTTCAGAGAGTAGAAGCATAAAACACGCAAGCAGAGCACGCAACGCTGCTGGGCCCGATACGTAATACACATCCTGTTGTTCTTGTTGTTCAAATAACTTGGATGCCTAACCCACGTATAAAACACATATGCACGCATTAAGTCAATGCAACAATTCACGCTTCACATGTTCGATGTTGGGCACAAGCGCCAGCCCAAAGGACCGGTCTAACTTCACCCGGTAATCCTACAGATGGCGTCCAAAAATACATGCGATACGTATTCGATGACACCAATTCAGTGTAAAAAGTCCCAGCGCATTAATCTCCGCACATGTTCGCGCTCCACGAAACACACGCATGCCGTGCACTACGTCAGGGGCTCTTGTCGTTAGCAGGCTGCTACAATGGAATGAACGCTGTTTCAAATGGCCGTTGCTCGTTTCGCTGGCATCCGGAGCGTCCAGTTTATTCTTACTGCATCTGGGAGGCAAACCAATCACTCCGGCATCTGTCACAGTCCCACACCCAGCGTCCCCACCCACCCATATGTGCACGTCACACCGTAACCGCTCGCCCGTTATCGACACGGCTCGCGCGGCACGAGGGCGACCGGGGGTCGGCGCGGCGGCGCGGCGCGGGTGCCAGGGCTCCGGAGGCGTCCCGACTCAGTGCTCGGCCGACGGCCGCGCCCCCTGTTCGCGCCACCACTCGCGCGGCCGCCCCACTTCCGCCGACACGCTCCTGTCCTCGGACCGCAGTCGGCGGCCGCTCAGCGGCACGCCCTGCGCGAGCTGGCGCGCGTACGACGGCTGCTCCAGTGTGCGGCTCCTCCCATCCTCGCGGTGCAGCTGCTGCTCGACCGGCCGCGGGCGCGCGTCCTCGCGCAGCAGGCAGCCGGCGGCGTTCTCCTGCAGGAGCCGTGAGGCCGGCCGCGCCGCCGGCCTCCTCGCCGCCCGCCGCCGCCGCCGCAGGCCCGGCCGCGGCCGGCGCCCGGTCAGGCGTTGTAGTCGCCGTCGTCGAGGCACCGCTCGGCCAGGCCGTGCGGGGCGTGCTCGACCCCATTGCGACCGCCGTTGGCCGCATCCGGGTAGCCGACCGTGTGCGACTCGGGCGACGGCAGCTCGTCCGAGTAGGTGCCGCGGGAGTTGGCGAACGCGATCGACTTCTGGTAACTGAACAGCTGACGCTCCAGGCTGTAGTTCTCCGCCTGCAGGGCGCTGATCTCTCGCCTGCGCGCGTGGAAACAAGCTCAGACCAAGGGCGCCGAAGCATGACATGTGAAAGCGCTTAGACCGCTCATGGCCGCTTAAAACGATTAAGAAGCTATAACAGGATGTATAAGGGTTGTTGGCATCCATATGAAGTAAGCCAGACTGAAGCACGAAAACGGCACACAAGAAAACACTTCATGAAAACTAGCAGGGGTGCATCCCAGAATCGCAAAAAAGGTAACAAGTTGGAGGCACCCAGCTTTACGCGTTCGGCGCAGTCCTCACGGCGAGTAACGAACAGTTTCCGGTCATTGATGTGTAGCCTTACGGAATTTTCCACGTCGTTCAAAACTTTTGAGCGGTACGAAATAACGGCAGCCTGTTGCCTTCCCCGGTTAAAAGTAAAAGGCAAACGTTGCTACGCTAATGCTGCGACAGCTAAGCGCAAATCAATAGAAGGTGTTTTAGAAAAGGCTGTTATCAAAACGTTGGCACTGAAGGAAAGCGTTACCGAATCCAGCAATTATTGCCGGCAGGTCACTCAGAAGGCCCTCACAAAGACGCGGGAGGACACCTGAACAAGGTCAGAACGGTGTGGCCGAGATAGTACCACCATTTTTTAAAGATATCCTGCACGGTCAAATACCCACCCTCATCTGGAAGTTATGGACGCGACTAATGTCGTCGTACTTGTGGTACGTCGACTGGAAGAGCAGCACCGTCTCTAGCCATTCGAGCTGCACCACCAGCTGGTGCCGCTCGTCCACGTACAGGCTGCCTGGAGACCGCAGCTGCAGTGAAGCACAACAATGGTCACCGACGACAATCAGTCACCGACAATGGTCAACGACGACAATTGGCCAATGGACAACAATCATCGGACGACGACAATGAAGGCACGTAGGACTTTAGTGTTACCAGAGAAAGACGTCTCGGGCACTGAGGTCACCCGAGGGAGATCATGGGCGCCAGGATCCCCTGAGGCGTCAGAGACTCGATTTTCGAGGTCTTCTGAGGCGGCAGTTGGGTCGCTGATTGCACAGACAGTCTCTGCCCCAGGGTCATTTGAGGTGACATAGAAACGTCTGGGTCATCAGGGTCACCTGAGGTGGTACAGAGATGTCTCGAACGACAGCGTCAACTGAAGAGGCATAGAGACATCTCGTTATTAAGGTCAACCGATGACACACAAAAACATTCTCGATCATCGGGGTCACTTGATGGGGCACAGAGACGTCTCGATCATCAAGGTCCTGATGAGACACGGAGACGTCTCGGCCATCAGGGCCACCTGATCACGCACAGAGACGTCTCGGTCATCAGGGTCACCTGATGAGGCACAGAGACGTCTCGGTCATCATGGTCACCTGATGAGGCACAGAGACGTCTCGGTCATCAGAGTCACCTGATGAGACATGGAGACGGTCACCTGATAGGCACAGGCACGTCTCGGCCATCAGGGTCACCTGATGAGGCACATAGACGTGTCGGTCATCAGGGTTACCTGATAGGCACAGACACGTCTCGGTCATCAGGGTCACCTGATAGGCACAGACGCATCTCGGTCATCAGGGTCACTTGATAGGCACAGAAACGTCTCGGTCATCAGGGTCACCTGATAGGCACAGACACGTCTCGGTCATCAGGGTCAACTGCTAGGCACAGACACGTCTCGGAGGACAGCGTGAATCGATGTGCTGGAGAACGCCCCAGGCAGCAGACGCCAAGGACGGCGTCTGAAAGCATTTATGGTCGGCAGCAAAGCAGATGTCGGTGGATGATGGTGACATAACACGACATGTCTGACATGACATGACATGATGACACCACTCCTGGACACGAGCTGTTTGGGCTCAGTGGCGAACTGAGAGGTGTTGGCACGGGGTTTATGGAAACCATTAGAGCCCAGTGCGAAAGCACTTGCATTTTGCAGACAAGCCCTTGGTGAAACTTGCAAAGCGCTGCGTGCCGCGTTTGGAGCCTGCCGTATCAATGGCAAATGTATGCGTGACAATTTGCACCGATTGCCAGACTCCCCTACAGAAAAAGAAGCCGAATCAGAGTGTCTGCAGGTAAAGTGCCCACCCGTCCTCTCGCTCATCGAGTCGTCTTCGTCTTCTCTCTCGTCAAGGACGCAGTCGCCGTCTTCTTCTCTTTCGCAAGGTCTTCTTAAAACCCCGCTTCCCCTGAACTCTAGCATCGCCGTCATCATCAGCTGGGAGCAATGGCTGTTTGTGGACGTTTCGATCTGTGTGACTCGCGGCTGGCTCATGGTTTTCCTAGCCGTCGGTGTGGGCGTGGGGGAGATCGTGGCCCATCAGGTGGCGGCTATGCAGTACCTCCTCGGCTGTGGCAGTTGCGGTGCCGGCCAAACGTCTGTTTTATTTTGGTTCTAAGTCTGGCTACGGCCGTGGTCAGGGCGTCTGCTCTGTTGGTATTACCAGCAGCAGTTTAAATCCAAACACAGAGAAGTGATGACCAATTTGGATCGAACGAAGTCGTGTCAGTCAGGGCGAATCGGACCATCGGAAAACCGAGACCAGTCCGCCGGGAGTCACATGTGACCAGACATGGGCCCAGACATGTGACCAGAATCACATGTGACCAGACCTGGGCCGGGGAGTAAGGCATTGAGCTAGCTCACAAACGTCCGTGGAATTCAGCAGACGTCTCGAAATGTAGTCCATCCGTGCTGTGACTTGGCCGGCCGTACAAGCTTTGATGCCTGCTTTGATGTGCCATAGGCTGCGTTTAATCTCAGCCTTGCCGCACACGCAAAGGCTCTTGCCGGTACATTGCCGTACACTGATTCGACTGTTTACTGACCTGCAACCTGCCACTGTCCACGCGACGAGAACCATTACGTTTAAAACGCCGCAAGTCATCAAGGTAAACGCACTGTTCAAAAGATCGTGCAGCACAACTGGACTCTCACCCTGATCATGTTTCTAAATACTTACTAGGCGAGTCTTTAATAAATATGGTACGGTGAGTCTCCAATTGTAATGTCTGATATGCATTTGGCTTTGGCGTACCGCCGTTAACAAGCGTATCACTTGCGGTCTTCAAAGAACAAGACGGCTGCTATTAATTGCACCTAAGAGGGCAGCATCCTGCAGTCTTCACAGAACGAGACGGGTGCTTTTAACTGCACCTGGAGGGCAAGATTGATGTCGAGCACGAACGTAAAACATTCTCTTGCAATAAATAGCATGCACCTTTTCTGTTTTTATTGCGCAACACTTTTTCAGTGCGATTAGCGCATACGTATAAACTGCTTCTTTCACTGACGAAGCAGAGAAAGAAATGATCGCTCTTTAATCCGACCAGGACCGGTAACGGCATATTTCGGGCACTTCTTGTACAAACAGGAATGATTGCTCTTTGATCCGGCCAGAACCAGCAGCGGCATATTTCTGGGCACCTCTCGTACAACAGGAAATGATTGCTCTTTGATCCGGCCAGAACCGGCAACGTCATATTTCTGGGCACCTCTCGTACAACAGGAAATAATCTCTCTTTGATCCGGCCAGGACCGGCAGCGGCATATTTCTGGGCACCTCTCGTGCAACACGAAATAATCGCTCTTTGATCCGGCCAGGACCGGCAACGGCATATTTCTGGGCACTTCTCGTACAACAGGAAATGATCGCTCTTTGATCCGGCCAGAGCCGGCAACGGCATATTTCTGGGCACTTCCCGTACAACAGGAAATGATCGCTCTTTGATCCGGCCAGGACCGGCAACGGCATATTTCTGGGCACCTCTCGTACGACAGGAAATGATTGCTCTTTGATCCGGCCAGAACCGGCAACGGCATATTTCTGGGCACCTCTCGTACAACAGGGAATCGTCTCCCGAAAACAGACTGCATCAGAATATGCCATTTAATAGGACCCTGCCCAGATAACAGGGCATAGTCCCTTCAACACTTCCCTGACAATAGGACGCCGACTCTCGGACACCGGCCGGACATACCCTGTCGCGAGCGGACCGCAGCGCGGCGTACTGGCGGGCGGCCGGAACCACGACCACTCGATATCCCGGGCTGCCTGCGCCAGTCAGCCCCTTCTCCCATTCGTCTTCGCTGCGGCCTGGCGCTGTCAACTCAGCAACTGATAGGACGTGTTGGGGACTTGAAGAGAGAATCGATTGACGGAGACAGGAGCAGACAGGCCTCCCGCCAGGGGTCCTACCGGCGAGGAGGCTGACAGAGCCGGCTGGAGGCAGGGGCAGGCTTCCTGTCAGGGGTCCTGCCAGTAACGAGACTGACAAAACCCACACCACCGAAGCGACGACGCCAGTGGTTGCACAGGGCCGGTAAAAATCAATGCGAGTCTCTTGCACCATGGTCTTTCTTCTGTGACACGTCACAGGTGTCACGAGCGGTCTTCATCAGGTCGCCATGGGTGCGCGAGCTGTCCTCTTCTCCTCATAGCAAGCAAACGATTTTTTTCATTTTACCCAGTCCTGCAAAAATTATTCTCTTTATCTCGTGTCGAACGCAGCAGCCTGTCTTCTCTAGCTTCGGTATTCGAACCTGTTTGAGTGCACATCCATGCGCCACGTTTCTGTTCACTCGTACACCTGCCACCAGCAGACATGTAGAGTAAACGTCACAGTTGGCGCAGCTATCTGGAGCGTGTCATATCCGGTACGTGTTCCCCTCGGACAGCCATCCAGTACAAGTCATATCCGGTACGTGTTCCCCTCGGGCAGCCATCCAGCATGTCATATCCGGTACGTGTTCCCCTCGGACAGCCATCCAGTACATGCCATATCCGGTACGTGTTCCCCTCGGACAACCATCCAGTACATGTCATATCCGGTGCGTGTTCCCCTCGGACAACCGTCCAGTACATGTCATATCCGGTGCGTGTTCCCCTCGGACAACCGTCCAGTACATGTCATATCCGGTACGTGTTCCCCTCGGACAACCATCCAGTACATGTCATATCCGGTACGTGTTCCCCTCGGACAACCGTCCAGTACATGTCATATCCGGTGCGTGTTCCCCTCGGACAACCGTCCAGTACATGTCATATCCGGTGCGTGTTCCCCTCGGACAACCGTCCAGTACATGTCATATCCGGTACGTGTTCCCCTCGGACAACCATCCAGTACATGTCATATCCGGTACGTGTTCCCCTCGGACAACCGTCCAGTACATGCCATATCCGGTACGTGTTCCCCTCGGACAACCGTCCAGTACATGTCATATCCGGTGCGTGTTCCCCTCGGACAACCGTCCAGTACATGTCATATCCGGTACGTGTTCCCTCGGACAACCATCCAGTACATGTCATATCCGGTTCGTGTTCCCCTCGGACAACCTTCCAGTACATGTCATATCCGGTGCGTGTTCCCCTCGGACAACCGTCCAGTACATGTCATATCCGGTAAGCGTTCCCCTCGGACAGCCATACAGTACATGTCACATCCGGTAAGCGTTCCCCTCGGACAACCATCCAGTACATGTCATATCCGGTACGTGTTCCCCTCGGACAGACATCCAGTACATGTCATATCCGGTACGTGTTCCCCTCGGACAGACATCCAGTACATGTCATATCCGGTACGTGCTCCCCTCGAACGGCCATCCAGTACATGTCATATCCGGTACGTGTCCGCTCGGACAACCATCCAGTACATGTCACATCCGGTAAGCGTTCCCCTCGGACAACCATCCAGTACATGTCATATCCGGTACGTGCTCCCCTCGGACGGCCATCCAGTACATGTCATACCCGGTACGTGTTCCCCTCGGACAGCCATCCAGTATGTCATATCC